CGCGGCGACCCCCGCTTCCCCGTGGCCTTCGCCATCCTGGTGGCCGGTTTTGCCAGCCGCGCCCCAGCCCACGGCCACTTCTACCGGGAGCCCATCGCCCTGCCCACGCTGCACGTCGTGGGCGATGCTGACGCCGTCATCGCCGCCCCCCTCAGCAGGGAGCTGGCCCAGCGCTTCGTGGAGCCTGTTGTCCTCGCCCACCCCGGCGGGCACTTCGTCCCCGCGGCTGCCCCGCAGAAGAAGGCCTACCTGGACTTCTTGGACCGCTTCCGCCCCGGACAGGGACAGGCTGAGCCCCCGGGGGCTGGGGCCGTTTGATAACAGTCGCCGTAATAAATGGGGCTCAGACGAGCCACGTGCAGCCTGCCATCTCGGTGAAACATCACTGTGTTGCCACACCCTCGAGAGGGGCCAGAGAGTCCTCATCAGCTCACTGTGCTGCTCTGCAGTGTTAACACAGGGCCAGGCTAAATAGTTCTTAGTTATCACCCTTTTTTTTTTTTTTTTTTTTTTTTTGGCAACTTTGTTGTGTGCGTGAGCGCGTGGGTATGACGGTGCGGGGTTTGAGGACAGGAGGGTGACGCCGCTCTGTGTGCGTGAGGTGCTTTCAGAGACTTGAACAGCTGTTCCAAGTCGGGGTCCTTCAGCTCGGCCACAGGAATTGTCTGCAGAGCACACGGCTCCCGCAGCTGTTACACCCCAAAGATCTGTATTTTTAATATTCGTGGTGAAAGCTATTAAGCCAACCTTCCAGCTGGTCTGGGGCTAGAAAATCCTCTTGTCCCTGTGCCAGTGTCAGGGCTGGTGTTCATTTCAGGAATGAAACGTCTGCTGGTTCAGCGTGCGTGTGTTGGGAGACTTTTGTATTTTCCTCTGTACAGAGTGCTTTCATGAACAAGAAAAGCTTGTCGCTACGTTTTTGGTTCTGATGTTTTCCAGAAGCACACGGAAATCTTTATCGTCGTTACAATTGCAGGCGTCCTGCTTGACTGCTGCTGGGGCAGGCCGGGCTCTCCCGTCTGCAGCCCAGAGGTATCGTGCCCCGGGCTGTGCTCGCAGGGCTTCTCTCTAGCCACGGCTTTCCTTGGGGGTACAGTGCAATGTGGTTGGTAAAAGAGAGGAATTGGATGAAACTTCTGAATTTGCCCCCTGCTCGTGCAGCGCTGGGAGCTGGGGAGCAGCCGGGCAGCGCGGTGTCGGCGCTGCGAGGGGCAGAGGATGCAGTGGTGCAGGAGCGGGCCCGGGGACAGGGGCCAGAAGCACTTTTTGTGTTCGCTCAGCCGGGAACAGGCCTGGGAGCTGCCGTGGGTTAAAACCAACCCAGCAGAAACGAGTGGTTCTCGCGCCTGTGAGTTTTTTGCCCTCCGGTTTGTTGCTGGTTACGTGGCAGCACGACGGAGGCGGTGGTAGGAGGATGTAGCTGGTTTCCCTGCAGGCCAGCCCCGGGCTGGCGTTGTCCCGGGGGGGCTGGCAGGGCTCGGGCAGCGCTTGCCCTCTTTGCCACCTCGCAGAGCGGCACCGGGTGGGCTGTGTCGCATCTCTGCTGCCTGCTCCGGTGATACGAAGGCGTGGGGGTGTCTGTCACCCCTCGGTCACCACGGCGGGGACACACAGAGGCTGGGTTGGGGGGGGGGGGGGGGGTTGGTGGTGCGGTGTCTCGCGCAGCCACGGGGAGTGAGGCCGAACGCGACGGCCAGCTGTGACAAAGCACCAGGGCCTTTGTCTCTGCCGCTCCCCCCACCTGAGCCCTCGGCCGCTGGGGAAGGATGGCAGCAGACAGCGCTTCGCCAGCCCGCCGTTAGCTGTTTAATTAATCACAGAGCTACAGCTCGCCGCGGTGATCTCCCCAGCGCAGCATCTCGCCCCCCCCGCCCAAGCGGCTCCGCGGAACGGCACGGAGGAGGCACTGCAGCCACCACCGCTCACCGCGGCCACTGCGGAGCGGTGCTGCCCAGCCGCCAGCCTGCACTGCGGTCCCGCAGCCGATGACCGGCATCTCCCCGCTCCCGGGGGGAGGCACTGCCGCAGCTCGGGTGTTGCGAAGGGGGAAGGAGCCCAGGCGTGCGGTGAGTGAGCAGAACGGTCCCGGCTCTGCAGGCAGCTCCGTCGGGTGGGTTGTGGAGGGGTGCTGAGGGATGGGTGACCTGAGTTGGGGTGCTACGGTACCTGCCTCCTCTTCCCAGGGTGTGTAAAAAGATGGCTCCTGCCAGGTGGCTCCTGTACCAGTTTAAACAAATTAATAAAAACAAATAAACGCGACCCTCATCCACGGGAGGTGCCTGTGTGAGCAGCAAAGGTCGTGCTCGGCCCCTGGTGCGATGGGAGGAGGAGAGCGGCTCCCGCGGCCGTCACCACCTGTCACTGCTGGACGGAGGGGTTTGTCCCGGGAATCCTGCCCTCCGCCTCCTTTTCCACTGGCGAGACGCCTTCGCACCGGCCCCTGCCTACCTCTCGCAGATCCAGGTCTGTTCCCGTGCTGCTGTTCTCGGGGCGCAGCCGCCCTCGTCGGCTGCCCGCGGAGCTGAGCCTGGAGACGAGGTCCTCCCACCCCTCGCTCAGCTTGTTGGCTGGGGGGGTTTCCTCTCCCCCCACCCCGCATGGCGCAGGGGGGTTGGTTTTTCCCCCCAAAACAGTGTGTGGCGGTTGCAGTCCCCGAGCGAGGGGCACTGCTGGGAGGGTGATGGAGCAAGCTCGGGCTCCGGGTGGCAGCTGTGACGCTGGCCTGGGGCACGGGGGGCCCTGGGGGCGGCCACCACTGTTACCCAGCGGCACCGGGAGTCTGGGTGTTTTGGCAGGGGAGGGCTTCACCCCTCTGCTCCCCAGATGGGGCCCTTTCCCTCCCCCAGCGCAGCCATTGGAGCCCCCTGCCTGGCCACAGTGCCAACCCCAGGGGCAGGTAGGACCCTGCCCGGGGCTGTGCTCGCTAGGAGCCTGCCGTGGGCACGGGGTCCGGGGCTCGGTGGGGCACGGCTTTGCTCTCCTTGCCTCAGGTGAGCAGAGCCCCCAGCCCCTTTCCCAGTGTCCCAGGGAGGGCGGGAGAAGACCAGCGTGAGCAGAGACGCTGCCGGCACTGCTGCCTCCCCGCAAACACCCACTGCCTCCTTCCCCAGCTCTCCGCGTCCCTTCCCCCTGCGCCGCTGCTGACTCAGGCCCTCCTCCGCTGCCCACCGTGCCAGCCGCCCGCGCGGGGCTCGCCGGGCACGGGCTCCCGTGGGCAGCGCTGGAAAAAGCGATGCACCGCCGAGCTTGGCATCGGGTGCCGATCTTCCCGGGATTTGAGCCTTACTCATCTCACGTTCTTCCTCCCCTGTCCCCACGAGCGGGGCCTGATGTTGGGGGGGGTGTGTGCGCTCCAGGAAGGTG